GTTGTATTTGAATAGCAAAACCAGTAGCTTGTCTCCAAGGCCTGTGTAGTATGAAAAGGCCTGGAAGGCTTTGTAGTTTAGGTCAACAAAAATTATATAGGATCTATAATTTTCAAGTCTCAGCAGACCCGATCCCATCTGCAGTCTGTTAGTGTCCTCGACTTCAAATGAGGTTGTTGGGAGGCCTTAAATTGCAGATGGAAATTGTGTTGCAGGGAGACGGTATTTTAATTCCGTAAGTAATAGATGTGACATAAAAAAAGAATATTCAGGAGGCTTTTTACTGCTGTGTTTCTGGTAGGAGGTAAATATAAGCCTTGAAAAAGTGGAATGTCTTGGGAGAAGTCTTTTGTCTCTACCTAATATGCAGTGGTTCTCTCTTGGGCCAGCTTTGGCTAATTGACTGCCAGTAAACTTCACACAGTCACTTGAAGTTGTTGTGGGCACATTCAAAGGTATTTATTTCCCCTGGGATTTATATATCCTTCTACTAATGAACTCTGGGACTCCGAGGTGTCTCTTGCGAGTCTGTCACAGCGAGACACTGGATATATTTGCTGTGGGTTTGGTCTCGTGTTTTACTTTGCAAAGTGGGGGTGTGTGGTGTGTTTTAAAACGAAAATGTAAGTGGAAATCTAAATCACTAAGTTCTGTTCAGGTCTGCAGGACACTTTCACAAGCATTCAGGTCTGCTTGAACTGAGTATCCTCCTGGATTGGGATCTGACCCTTTTTTTTTTTTTTTTCATCCTTTGCCCAGTCATGCTGAGAAGCTGCAGGAAGTAGAGGAGGGAGTATGCCTATATTTGCACCATGCTGCGTGGGCAAAAGAAACATAAATTAGTCATAACCAAAGAATTAAAGAGGAACTTCGATGAGTCTGGGGTATTGGCGAATGTGAAAATTACAAATTTTAAGCAATTTCTTTTTCTTCTCCTTTTTGTAACTGACTTCTGAGGTGCAGCAGCTTTACCTGGCTGGAACTGCACATGACAGTTCAAAATGTCCTGTTAATGCCAGCCTTGGGCTTAGCATGATTTTATAGTTTCTCTGTATATTTGTTGGAATTCTTGCTACTAATTTTAAATGTTTGCAAGAAGCTTTAAATTCTGAAAATAATTCCCTTGTTCCAACATAAATAAGGGTAAGCTTTCATTTGCTCTGTTTGCTTGGCATTTGTGACTCTTTAACATTCAAGAAAACGGACAAATACACCGATACTAAGTATAGGCAAATATTTTCCATATAACACTGCCTCCAGTATAAATTCCAGTAAATGCATAACAGAACTTCTCGAAACAACATATTCTTTAATTATCTGTATTTCCCTGAAGAAACGGGGAGGTTTCCAACTGGTTACTTGACCTGAGGATTTCAAATGTCCTTTCTGGTCCTGTGTAGGAATATCCCATCCAGTTTTTCCACTAAACGTTTTTAAAACCTCAAGCCAGCTTTGATCATACCCGATAAAGTATTTTATTAGTTTTACATTCAAGTTTTGTGTGTTTTATTGACACTTTCTTGTTCCTCCTGCTCTTGACTCCAGCTTCCACGTGCCAGATCGGGAGTATTTAAGTGCGAGGAACTGTTTGCGCGTTGCCACCGTCTCTGTGAGCTTTCAGAGTACGTGTCAAGGGTTACTTGCTCTCCTCTAGCCCGGGGAAGCTAGAGGATGAAGATGAGCATAATACCACGCTAATGAAAGACAAATGTTTTGTGGGAGCTTTGGGGATGAGTTTTTGGGGTTTCGGTTTAATCTCATGACTTCTGAAATAATCGTACGGTATCTGGAGGACCATTCTGACAAAAAACATTTGGGTCTGTGGGGTTTTGTTCACGTTGGCGTCCCAGAGCAGAGCTTTAGTGTTTGAAAGCTCGCTCCACCGTGCCCGAAGAATACAGCAGGAGCTATGGAAGGCAGTGGACTGGGCACAAAGCATGGAAATGCTCTTTCTAGATAGCAGATAAGTGAATTTTTATGGAGTAAAATGCTGGGTTGTCACCCGACACAACTGCGGTCTGTTCCGGCGCCTTTGGAGGGTCTCTTTGCAAGTCGGGTGGACGCGGTGGAGCTGGCTCCAGAGCATCCAGCTCATGTGCTTGCTCTGCAGGCTCGTTGCAGCAGCGCTGGCGTTTGTGTGAGCAAGCTTCCCTGCCAGTGGAGTTCACTCTGCTGCTCAGCAAGTTTTATGCTTTCTGCTGAGTACTCTTGCTGCTATCTACATTTATAACAATAATTTACGTTTGGGTAGATCGCAGTGAAGTGCAGCCATGCATTTGTGGTTTGGATGTTCCTTTGGAAGTTATTCCTATAGAGCTTTGGGGCATTGGTGAGTTCGACTGCAGGAAGGACTCTCCGGTTTGTTAACACAGTTCATTTTCTCTTACGGTAAGATGGGAGGAAGCTTGACGCATTTTCTTAAAGATCCATTGCAGGAACTAGCAAACAGTGAAGATGTGGTAATGATTTGCTAACCTTTCAGTCCTGCGTCAGGAAGCCTTTCGTTGAAACAACAGTGAGCACGGAGCAGACGTGTAATTCATGCGTCTTAGGTGTGTTTAAAGGGGCTTTGCTTGCTCTTGGTCTGTGCATAGTTTAGAAATGTGTTATTTTTACAGGGCAGTCGCTTGTTCTCTGGTCCCACAGGCCCCAGCAATCGTGCTCATTCACTCTTGGACCTCTTCAGCAGCGCTGTCACCGTTATGGATGAGTGTGTTAACTGCAGAGGTGAACATCTTGTATCTGGCAGCAGAAGCGTGTTGAACTGACAGGTGGCTGCTTTAAAATACTTGAACTGTTGCTTTCTTGCTTCAATTTTTGTCTTTATCCTAATCAGCCTCCAGTAGCTATTCCTAAATATGTTGAGTCTCATGGAGGAATAAAGCTAGAATTTGTTAGCTGGAAGATGCTTAGGCTGTGCAGGTGGCCCGGTTGCTCGGACAGATCTGTCTTGTTTAGCCTCTTAATTGGACACAAAGGTGAGGTTTCATCAGCATCCTTGATCTACCGAAGATTTGCTGAACCCTGTAAGTTGGCGTGCTCCAGAGAAGGCAGACTTGCGCCCGCAGCAGCACCACGGACCTGTCCTAGGGCTGAGGAGTTGACTTGTTTTTATTTAAAGGCAAGACAGAAAGAGGGAAAGACCTTGCTCCCACTAAGGGTGGATGGGACGGCATTTCTAGGAAGCTGTAGCGAAGGAAGTTCACTGTCTTGGCATCACTAAGGAAGAATAATTAGGTGACTCTTTAGAAGATGACGGAGGGATTTTGGAAATGAGCAAGAACTCTTTAAAATTGGGGTTTGTCCATACAAGAGCATTCAGGAAAGTTAATCCAAACGAACCGAAGTTATAAATTGAAATATGGTTTTAATTTGGTTTAGCTTAATTCATCTGTTTGCTTTTATTCTGCATGAAGGTGTCCATGCAGGAATTTAATTTAGTCTAATAGAAGTACTTAAATCCATATCCTTAATTAAGTTAGGGTGTGCGCGTGTTTTCTTCCTCCATGAGTGTTCCCCAGCGACCTGGAGCCAAGGAATTGGGCATCAGCAGAAGGGAAGCGGTGCCTGGGTAGGTACAAGGGTGGTGTTGCTGAGAAGCCGAGAGCCTTCCCATTCCCTCCCTGAAGGGGGAACTTCGGACGGTGCGATGACTCTCCAAGATCCAGCTCTTCCCTGCGATCCCTTCTCTGGTGCGTGGCAAGGAGTTACGAGGCTGATATTCGTACGCGGCGGATCGCAAAACCCCGCAGCCCGTAGGCACGCACGCCTCAGGAGCGTAGAAATATTGTATTTCAGGGGTTCCAGGAAATAAAGCTAAAGTTTGCCATTTAACTCACATGAACGCTCATTTTTAAGTTTGAGATTACGCGTTTAACTTCAAACCATTTTGTACGTAGATTAGGGAATTGTAAGTTCTGTAATTAAAGCTTGTCCTGATTTGTGTAACAGTACTTCTGTATTGTTACTGCCTCGTTATTCTACTTACGTGCTTCGTATTACCTTTTTATTCCACTTAAGTAATTTTCCAGAATTAATTGCAGAACTTCACAAATCTGTAATTAGCTGTACAAGATCCACATTGAGATTTTTTTTTTTTTAAATCCAGATTTTTTTAATGTTTCAAATGCTTGTTTGCTCAAGTATGTTCCTATGAATTTCTGGACACATTGCACAGTACATGCTGACACCGTGAACAAAAAGCTGGCCAGTCTGTCTATGAACAGTGTGCTGTGGTATGCAATGTCGTGGCACTCAAGGAATTCAGTGATCTCTGTATGAAGAGCAAGATGTTGTTTATTGTTTCTTTATAAAGGTTGTTTCGGGTCTATAAAACTCGCTATACAACACAGAGTGGGTGCTGTCAGCTTCAAGCATATTCTTGCTTTACTCACCGTCATAAATATCTTGTAACTATTTAGGGTGTGATGCAGATCTGTTAAATCATATTGGATGGGCTCTTAAAAGGCTCTGAAGACTGTCTTGGTATGAGCTTATTCATCTGTGCTAGAAGGATATTTTCTTGCTAGTGAATTTTTTTTTTTGTTAATGTCAGCATGTTGTGGCTTAGATTATTCACTCCTGGGCTGAAAGCATTTGGAAAGGTTTTATGAGAGATGATAAACCTAATGGGCTTTCAATCTGTTAACTCTTTTGCTGCTAAATGTAAATGTCTGTTTCTATAATCCTGTGGAAGTCGATGCGATCTTTGTAATGCTGGGAGATGCGAGAACTGCGATCGGAAAAGGACAATACAAATGCACCGTTTGGACTTTGTCTCCTAAACCCTTCTTGGCGTTTTTCCCATTGAAGTGTGTCTCCCGTATATGTGGCAACGCGTTCGCTCCTGAATGACGTTTCAACCTCTTTGTAAATTCTGCTGTCCCTTTGGAAGGCTTCACGATGGGATCCCACACGCAGCGTGGTTTTCCACCCCGTGGAGCACAACTCCTGTGCTGCAGGAGGGTGTCTTTTAGTGTGTCTTGGAATGCTTTGTGTGATTTAGGGAATAAAACCAATACAGCCACAATTGTCCTGAAATTTAAGAAATAAAAACGTAGTGTGGCTTGGATTGCGTGTTATTTCTTTCCCTATAGTTGAAACCTCAGGTAAGAGTTTGAATTCCAAAGCCTTCGCGATCTTTGTAAAATCACAGCAAAGCAAAAAGTGCAATTGCAGTGCACAAAGGCTGAAATTCAGTGGTGTTTCTGTCTCCAGCAGGTTTTGGAGCTAGCAGGAGTATGACTTCTTGAAATGTAAGCAAATTAGTGTGGAGGAAGAGGCTGATTGTTGAAATGGGCAACATAACAACAGTATTTTGCAATGAAGTTGCAGTTTGCTTTTCCAATGAATTGCCAGCTTTCTATTGGAAAAAATTTGCTTAGTGTGTTCTCAGACCTAGAACTGTAATAAATTTTCCCCTCAAATATCCACTGTTTAACTCAAAACTTACATAAGCACCAAAGATACACAGCTAAGCTGTTCTGTGCCTGAAATGTGGTTTAGGGGTCAGGAAGGAACTAAGCGTAGCCCGTCCGAGTATCACCTTAGAGCTGTCCTTTTTCTGAAGGAAGGGTACCACTGGTGACGTTACAGTTTTATCCCTTTTCTAGGTACAAATCGCTGTTTCTTGGAGTTTTTGTATTTTCTTGCTTGGAATTCTGTATAATTCCCTGGACCTTTTTCCTTTTAAAAAAAAAAAAAACCCAAACCCTAAGTAAAAAGTATAGGTGAAAAATCAAGCTGAGTGGTTTTTGGCAGTGAATGTTGGAGCTTGGAGCTTTAAATTTCTCTAAGGTAATCTTTTTTTTTTTCTTTTCCACTTGTTTTTGTAGGATGCTGTGACATCAAAACCAGTAATCCAGTTTCAAGGAAGCCAAGGGGTAAGTTTGTGTGTGGGTTGCCTTGGAAAGTTCTTTACTGGCTTACACAGTTAATCTGAGTAAGGTGTTTGTTCTGTGCGTCTGTCCTGTTCCAGTTCAAAGAATGATGCTCTGATTTCTGAAAGTGAGAGATGTGAAGTTCAGATGCGGTCCAGGAAAGAG